TTGTTCAGTTATGGTTCAGCAAGTAAGCTTTTCATATATTTCATTATGTTCAGTCACCCAAGATTCAATTTCTTTTTACTATCTATGAAGAAATTATTTTTCTATTGCAAAAAAAAAAAAAAACTCACATTTTCATTTATACTTCAGATTCCTCTTGGAGTTACAGAGGACAGACTCATTGGATCAGTTGATGTTGAGGAGTCTGTGAAAACAGGCACAACTGTTTTCCAGCCAGGCTTACTGGCTGAAGCTCATAGAGGTGTTTTATATGTTGATGAAATTAATCTTTTGGATGAGGGTATTAGTAATTTGCTCCTCAATGTATTGACTGAAGGAGTAAATACTGTTGAAAGAGAGGGGATCAGCTTCAAGCACCCTTGCAGGCCCCTTCTCATTGCCACCTATAACCCAGATGAGGGTGCTGTTCGTGAACATCTTCTAGATCGCATTGCGATTAATCTAAGGTATTGTTGTAATTGACATTGTTTGGCTTCCTGTGGGTTCACAAAGGGGTAAAAAGAACCCTGCCTCAATACATATTTAATGGAATGAATTATCAAAATTTTGATTACCTCTCCTATTTCTAACTATTCTCCCTTCTGCAGTGCAGATCTTCCAATGAGTTTTGAAAACCGTGTTGCAGCTGTTGGAATTGCTACAGAGTTTCAGGAGAACAGTAACCAAGTATTTGAGATGGTTGAAGAGGAAACAGACAATGCAAAAACTCAGGTATGTTTACTAAGCAAATAATATAAACTTTATCAGAAAGGTGAAGAACAAATAGAAAATAACAGAAATTTTATTGAATATCAATCTCCTTGAATCTAAATTAGATTCATTTCTCTCCTCCCAACCTCTACTCCAAATCCAAATGGATCTCTATTATTTTCCTCCTACTATCCGTTCACTGCTATTTCTCCCTCTCCTAATTCAGTTAGGGTCTCTTGCTAACTGTTAATTCAGTTGTCAATGACTTGAACTGAGCCTGGTTTGTTCACAGCAGAAACTGACCCAATTTCTATTCCCCTGTAATCACCCTTATTTATCCTAACATACACCTTTCTAATTTTGATCTGCTAACTAGAAAATGAATAGTAAAGAGAAGTATTTGTTAAGATGTCTCTCATAGGCTATGAATATGGCCATAATACTCCTTATAAGGCTTGGGCAATTTTCCTCCCTTGAGCTAGCTTATTAAGTGTTGCTGTTGGACCACCTTTATGCAGTCTTGTAAATTTCATGCTCTAGATGTCCACTCTTGCAAACTTCATGATCTAAATGTCCTACATTTGGTATGAATATGGTCAAAATAATTTTTTAATATGGTATCAAAGCCTATCAAGTTCTTATGTTCAACTACCCATGGATGTTTGGTCTTGCAAACTCATGCTCCAGATGTCCAGTCTTAGGCATGAGTGTACGTGTGATATCCCACATCAACTAGGTGTATGACCAAAATACTCCTTTTAAGGCTTGGGCAATCTTCCCCCTTTGAGCTAGCCTTTTGGGTTGAGTTAGGACTGGTCTATTTTAAATAATATCTAATCTACTTACTTAAACATGATTCCTTAAAGAGTTCTGTTTGTTATACAAGCTACTGTATTACATGAACTGATCCTGTAAGGTTGTAAACTTGACAAATAGGTTCACTTTTATTACATAATTTTCACAAAATGAGTGGGGGTTAAGATGGACAGCTAGAATCTACAGGCATGCATAAAAAAATCCATGTTTTCAAATTGAGTCCAGTATATCAGATTTTGTACACCGAATGACTAAGTTACTCATTATATTATATATGTTGGTATAGTTCCAACTCCCTCTGCTATTATAATATCTTTTGTCTGTTTAACTTTTCTTAATATTTACCTTGTGCAGATCATCTTGGCTAGAGAGTATCTAAAAGATGTTACTATTAGCAGAGAACAATTAAAATACCTAGTTATTGAAGCTTTACGAGGTGGTTGCCAGGTAAAACCCAACTCTTTCTACACTTAGGCAAAACCTTTGTATATTTCGAAGTTACAACCATTTACTGTCTCTCAAGGAAAGCAATTGATTCTACTGTGCTATGAAGTAAATCAGCTTTCAATTGCCTCATTCTTGTGTTAATTGCAGATAAAAATTCCTTCCAAATTTTTGCTATATTATGTGAAGCTCCAAACCATTGAAGTGACTATTTTTAGGTGATTAGGTACAATGTAAATTGTGGGAACATAAATTTTTTTTTGTGTGCTTGGTGGCCAAGAAAGCATTCCAATTTTAAGAGAAACATTCTGGGCTCTTTTTCTCTACCCCTCTTCATTTATACTTATTGCTGAGTTGAGGTTATTAAATAACATGTCCATATTATGCCACAATAAGGCTTTTCCTTCCCTTAAACTATTTAATTGTTTTAGCATTAATTCATGAGTACATTTGATGTCATATATACATGCTAATCTTGGGCATGTAAGTTATACTTGTTAGAGGGAAGAGCAAGAGAGAGGAACAACTAGGCTATATAAAAGTGATAGAAGTTGTAGATTTCTTGCTTCAATGTATAATTACAAAACTTTGAACCGGTGATAGTACCATGGGAGAGTTAAAACAAGTGTTTGAAACATTGTGACTAGACACTTTGTCATTTTACAAATGTTTTATTCAAGAGAAAAAAATAACCATTAATTTGTTATACTTATTATTCATTGTGGTAGTTTGGATGCCAAGCCAGTTTGCAAATTGTTTCATGTTGATTGATAATTTTGAATACTTGTTATGAACAACAGGGACATAGAGCTGAGCTATTTGCTGCCCGTGTTGCAAAGTGCTTAGCTGCTCTGGAGGGACGTGAAAAGGTTTATGTGGATGACCTAAAAAAAGCAGTAAGCTTCCTTAGAAATTCAGATACAAGATTTTGGTACATCAGTTACACCTTGGACTGTTGGCTTTAGTCTTTTCTAGGAGCATAACCAATTGTGTTTTTAGTTTGAACTACGGATTTTTCTCTGCTACCTTTCCTTTTGGCTAGGGTTCTGGCACCCCTTAGAAATTGGGGTCAATATTTAGCCATTGTTGCTCTTAAAAGATGGCATTCAGCTACTAATTTATTAATTTGCTTCAATTAAATATGATTTGTGGCAAGATATTTCCTGCTAGTTGTTAAGAACACCAATACCCTCATATGATAAGAAAGTGTGCCAAAAGAATCTCCTTGAATTACACATCCAGAATTTGCATGGTTTGACTTCACTATTAAGATTGACATTTGTTAAAATGCATGTTGATGGTTTGGTACAGGCTGATCAGAGTGCTGGCATTACTAGAATTTGTTTAAATTAATTTTATTACTGGGGGCTTTCTATAATCTGTTGTCAAGTTTAATTTTGTGTTTCTATAACGTGAAAACATGGTGGAGAAGTTTTAAAAGAACTTCATGCTACTCTAGAATTATCTGCTCCACCAATCAGAGCACCTTTGGCTAATACTTCTAGAAGGTCTTCAATTTGATCCTTACTAGTTATTATATCCATTACAATAATTTTAAATTTCAGCATAGGGTAGTGATGGTCTATTTTCTGTCCTTTTGCATCTTAGAGATTTAATGATTTTCCTTCTTTCAATTAGTTTAAGCTTTTCAAGGATATCTTGTTAATTAATTGTAGTATGACAAGTATGATTGCAGCATTTTCTGGTATGTTTCAAACATTTGCAAGAATTTACTTCATGGTGAGCTGTGAACAAGGCACTACTAAGTTCTGACTTAAGTTGGCAAGGCTGCAATAATCTAGTGAATGACACAGGACTAAAGGATGAAGTCCATGAAACTTAAGCTTTTGACAGATTCCGTGGCATGCCCATTTTATGTCCATTGGCTACAGCTACCATGCAAACATATCATACAAAATGTTACTTTTGGTTTATAACCTGTCTTGTGATCCGCCAATTATTTGTCTGAAAGACAGAAAGGTTAAAAGAATTTATTTGACACTAGGTGGCATCTTTCTCGGTAGTTGTGAATTGTGATAATTCCTTTTTGACTTTTTTGGTATTGGAAACAATGGAAAGTAGGATTTGAGTACTGAGTTAAGTGTACAATGATAGAGATAAAGGGAGAGAAATTTGAAGATGAAATTGGCTGAAAACAAATTGGTTAGTCTCCAGATTTTATGTGTGATTTCACTAAAAATGGGACAACCTATCAATATGGTCTGCAAGACTCCATGAAGAGGACTAATGAAAGTAAATCATTCTTCTCTGACATAATTTCAACAGTTTTTCATTATTTTGGAAGGAAATGCTGAAGGTTAGGGTTGCTCTAATGCTGTGTCTGTGTAAAGAGAGATAGGGAGAGGGAGAGAAGATTTGTGAAAACTGAATGGCATATCTTAACTTGATCTTAGTTATGCTATCTTTTTGTATGTATTTATACTAATGAATTTTGATTAAGTACATATTGTAAAATTAGTAGAAACCCAGCCCAATAACCCTCGTTACATATTTTGCTATTTTACTTTCTAAAAATAAAGAAGCTATCTGACAAATTTTTTACCATACATTTTCTGATACAGGTAGAACTGGTCATTCTACCCCGGTCAATTGTTACTGAGAGCCCACCAGAGCAACAAAATCAACCTCCTCCTCCTCCGCCTCCCCCACAAAATCAAGAATCAAGTGAAGAACAGAATGAAGAGGAAGAACAAGAGGTTGAGTTAAACCAACTCCCAAGTTAAATAATTTTTTTTAGGACAATCCTTTTTCAAAAGTAATAGAATTTTGTCCATTTGTTGGAGAAATATTAGTCATGGCCTTGTGGTTTCCTTTCTTTTAAAATGAATGTTTGTTCATGGACTTATATGCATGAGATTTCATAAATGTAATTGCTGGGATCCCATATCGATTATAAATATAGCCCAAGAAGAGCTTATAAAGGCTTGGCCAATCTTCGCCCCATGAGTTAGCTTTGGAGTTAAATGAGACCCAACTTAAATTCAAGATGGTATGAAAGTCTATCATAGATTTGATATTGGGTTACCCTCAACTGTCCCAAAAATCTACTTGGCATGGCTTTCCCATTGCAATATATATATATATATATAAGCCTAGCTGACTGCATGGCTTTCCACAATCCTGACCCCATGACTTTCTTAGTGCAATATAAAAAATAAAAAAAAATATTAGTCCTACAATACATTCTATACACTCCAGCTATCCAATCCTGGGTGAGTGTGTCTTGAAAATTGAGATCCTACACTAATTATAGATATGGCCAAAGTTAAGCTCATAAAGGATTGACAATCCTCTCCTTATCAGCTAGCTTTCAAGGTCGAGTTAGGTTTAACCTAAATTCAAGAGTAATGTCCATTGATGCTTTTAAGTTTTGACATCCACCTTGTTGTACATATAAAATTTTGAATATTGCCTTTGTGAACAGGATGACAAGGATGAAGAGAATGAACAACAGCAAGAACAATTACCTGAAGAGTTTATCTTTGACGCTGAAGGGGGCTTGGTAGATGAAAAACTCCTCTTCTTTGCCCAACAAGCACAAAGACGCCGTGGGAGGGCTGGAAGGGCGAAAAATGTTATATTTTCAGAGGATAGAGGCCGATACATCAAGCCAATGCTTCCAAAGGTTGGTACTCCTAACCCTATTTGTTTGTCTTATAACTGAAAGAGATAGTATCTAATATATCTGGTTAGCTGTTGCAAATTTTTCGATGGAATTTTGATGAATGCTGTATTGATGTTCTGCTATATAATTGAATGATTTGATCTGTTTTTGTATCCACTTGCATTTATATCATTGTATTCTAACATGACCATTGTAATGTCCATTAACTTGACATCTTTGATTGCCACTCAATTGTATATGGTATATGCTTTTTATTAACAACAAATGCTGTTACTGTTTGCAGGGCCCTGTAAAGAGATTAGCTGTTGATGCAACCCTTAGAGCTGCTGCACCTTATCAAAAATTGCGAAGGGCAAAGGACACTGGAAACAGTAGAAAAGTATTTGTGGAGAAAACTGACATGAGGGCAAAGAGAATGGCACGTAAAGCAGGAGCATTGGTACATATGTTCTTTCATTCAGAACTTGCATTTACAGTAATTAATTTGAAATAAAAATATAAAGAATTATTCTACTATTTGTTCCTCCTATTTCTTCTAAAGTGTTCTCATCTTTTCTTATCATCCTCTTATTTTTCTCCTATTATCTCTATCCTTTTCACCGTTTTTTTTTTTGGTAAAATGGTTTTATAATTTTTTATACATCTTACTGTGCGCTTGTGTCTTTTTAACAATTGTTACATCAAACTGAAAAGATATTACTGATTTTGATGCTATTTAAAGCCTTAAGAGTTGTCTTAATGTCAATATGATTATTAGTAATAGTAATTAAACCCATTATGATTTTCTTATAGGATTTAAATGTCAGTGTTTTTGTATCTGTATTCGGCCAGAGGAATTAATTTCGTATAAAAAACTTTTGTTTGACTAGGCTAGTATGGAATATAATTTAAATCTCAAAGGGAGTCTGTTGTGAAGTTTGCCTTGGAGGCAATTATTAAAGAAATATTGACCTTGTTAGCGGTAAGCTTTTATGCATTTTATTTTTAAATAATCTTAATAATTGTAGGTCATATTTGTGGTTGATGCAAGTGGAAGCATGGCATTGAACAGGATGCAGAATGCAAAAGGTGCAGCACTTAAACTTCTGGCTGAAAGTTATACAAGCAGGGATCAGGTGAGTGTCTCATGTAATTTTTAACATTTAGGAATTTGTTTATAATTGATTTATGAATGAAAGTAAATAGGAATCCGCCATGTAGGTTTCACGTATGAAGAATTTATATGGAAGACAGAACATGTAGTTTGAAAGAAGAGACTTGTTATACCCAACTAATGGAGAATTAGTGCATGGGTTGGTACATGTTTTAAGTGTTAACCTGTGCATAGCTCTGGTTGCAGATAAACACTATGATATGCATATTGGTTCCATTGCAAATCCTTGAACCAGAATCAGTGTTAGAATGAAACAATAAATTTGATTTGCCTAAGTCATTGATCACATGCAGATAAATCTAAACATACGAGAGTTTAATTGATGATATGCTGGGGTAAATAGAGAGCACAACTCACTTTTATGATATTATCTAAATAATCTTATTTCAAATAATTATTGCTCTTGTAAAATAGGTATCTATAATTCCGTTTCGTGGAGATGCAGCTGAAGTTCTCCTACCACCTTCTAGATCAATTGCAATGGCAAGGAAGCGTCTTGAAAGGCTTCCATGTGGTGGAGGGTCCCCACTAGCTCATGGTCTTACAACGGTATACAGATTTTTTACATGTCATGTTTATTACATTATATTTTACCAGAGTCAAACTTATAGAACCATGGACTTCAATTTATATTACTTTGAACCTGTTTTTAATCAAGGGAAAAAAATATATTTTTAGTCCCTATTCTTTCGGTCAAAGTTCCTATACTTTTTCCATTGATGAATTTGGTCCTCAAACTTTAAAAAACATGTAGATTTAGTCCATCCTTTCTAAGAATTTGTCAAGTTTTTTTTTAAGTTAAAAGGTATTAAATCCACGTGTTTTTTAAAGTTTGAAGACCAAATTTATCAATATGAAAGTAGAAAGACCTTGATCACATTTGACCGAAAGTATAGGACCAAAAACATTTTTCCTATTTTAAATGGTTTCCAACTATTGACATTTGTAAGGAAAAAGAGATTACCAGTTATATGAAAATGACAATATCCATAGACTCGGTGCAAAAAGAAAGGCGGATAATGTCAGTTTTGATCTTTTGGTGGTGCAGCATTTTCTGATTGAGAATTCTTTATATTTCATATAAAATTCCTCCTGATATTAGTTTCATCTTTCATGTGTTGTATATGGACTTTGGCCCATAAATGACTCCTGGATCACATTTTAAATGGATTAGCTAGTCTTTTTAAGCTTATTAATTCTTATTTATGAAAATATTTAGGCTGTTAGGGTTGGATTAAATGCGGAGAAAAGTGGCGACGTTGGACGCGTAATGATTGTTGCAATCACTGATGGCAGAGCCAATATATCATTGAAAAGGTCAACTGACCCTGAAGCTGCTGCAGCAACTGATGCCCCAAAACCTTCAGCGCAACAATTGAAAGTATAGTTAATCTTTGTAATTGAACTCATAGTTACTTTCAACTGACACAAACCTTAACTTTATTTTTTCTGTTTTGTCATTTTTGTGAGGTGGTGAGTTGGTGGGGGAGGGTGGTTGCATTAGAGTTAGTGATTGGGGCTCAACGAAAGGGGTAGCATTGTAGCAAAGGAGGGGACATTAGTATGAATCTGCATGCTCATCTAGGATCAGGCATATGGGTACACCACCATGACAGATTCCCAATGGCACGTGGAAGCCATTTTTCTGGCAGCCAAACTTTTAGAACATGTTATCTAGTGCATTGTGGAAGCCAATGATATTAAATTCAGGACCAGTAATGCTTTTTCTAATAATATAATTACACATTCGTTTGATGTTCCATTAACTATTTTTTACCATTTTTTCATATCTTTAAATTTTGTAGTAAGCATTTACTCATGATCTTTTCAATTCTGTATGAATTGGCAGGATTTACATATATTACATGTTCAGTTCCAATTTGTCCGAGTCTGGACTAACTTTTATCTTTTGTTTTAATAAAGGATGAAATTCTTGAGGTGGCTGGGAAAATATATAAAGCAGCAATGTCTCT